CTTGCTTCAATCTATACAGAGCTTTAACCAATTTGCATACTTTCTTTTCTTCGTTAGGAGCAATAAACCCTTCGATTTCTCCATATATGTTTCTTTTTTTTTACTATTCAAAAATGCCGTTTTAACATCCAATATTTGATGAATCTAAGGTTGTGTAATGCATCAATTACAATCAAAACTCTAATTGAAATGATTCTAGTAACTGGTGAGCATGTATCGAAGAAATTAATGCATTCCTTTTATTTTTAGCATTTTTATAACCAACCTAGTCTTGTATTTATTTATAAATGGATCAATTCAGTTTCAATTTCTTCTTGAAAATTCATTTACATCCTAAAGACTTATTTCCAGAGGGAGATCAACCAACTTCCAAGTATGATTTTGCATTATTGTACTATCTCATTATTGATAGCTTTTTTCCAATGCAATGCTTCTGGAATAGATATTGTTTCATTAAATGCCTTAAGATCACTTTCTACTATGTATGTTAGAAAATCAGGATTATATGATGTAAATAGTCTAACCATTTTACTACGTCTTGGTTCTTCGTTACTTAGAGGAGTACTATTTGCAGTTTCAAAAGTTCACATGTTTGAATTTATTTCTTATTTGTCTTTGCATTGAAAGACAATTTCGAAGAATGTAACATTTTTCAATTTAATGATAATGCCTTCATGGATGTCTTGTATATCAGACTTATGAACACGAAATCGATATATACTACTATTATTAGTGTATCCAATTAATATGCAATCAATTGTCTTAGACTCAATTTTAACTTGCTTAGGCTTTGGTACTTCAACCTTAGCTAAACACCAGCACACTTTCAAGTGTCTATAAAAACGTTGATGACTTTTCCATAATTCATTTGGAATTTCATCCATTTTCTTTTGGGATATTTTATTAAAAATGACATTGCTGAAAATATAACTTTCCCCACATGTTTTGGGGTAGGCCTGAACTTACCGATATAGTATTCATCATCAATTTTTACGTTTAACAACATCATTTAATTGAGGTGAGTAAGTTGTTATTGTTTGATGAATAATGCCATGTTCTGAACATAATTCTTCAAGCGGTGTCCCTTATTCTCCTCATCTATCACTTTGAATAGTCTTTATTCGTTTACTAAGTTGATTTTCAATTTCAATCTTATAATGTCCGAAAACATCTAAGGCCTCATCTTTGCGAATAGAAGATTATTGTGAATGTTCGGTACATATAGAACATTGTTGAGGATGAGATATTTGCTTCGATCATCCTCAAAGCCACTTTCCCTTATCCTTTAACTTTCGAACTTACAGAATTTCTCATGAAGAGTAGTTCTCCATTGTGTTTTTTGTAGTTTGAGAACATTTTCGTGTCAACATAAATGTGGCTGGTTGGATCAGTATCAATCCAACATTATCTTGGATTTCCAAATCTCTTGTGTTTCTTCAGATAAGGTGTCTCCATCAATTACATTCGTTTGTGCATTCTTCTTAGACTTGCTACATTCACTTGTACGATGTCCCACTACAACAAAAATAGCATTTTCAATGTTCAAAAAACGTTGTCGAAGACATTTTGCAACGTTCGAACGTATGTTGCAAACCTTGTTGTTGCTGTAGAGTAGAAAGTTACGACAACATTTTTTTAATGTTGCTAATGACCTTTTTACAACGTTTTTTTGAATGTTAATAACTTTTTTTGCAACGTTCATTGGCTGCTGCTTATAATCTTTTTGCAATATTTTTCGAGTGTTGCTAATAAATTTTTTGCAACGTTTTTTGAATGTTGCTAATAATTTTTTTTGCAACATTTTTTGTATATTCTCTATACTTATATCCTTATTTTTTTTGTAGCACTTTTTGACCGTTGCCGTGGGTCTTTTTTTTTTTTTTGGATAACGTTGTTTGCCATTGTATAGGTTAAAAAAATTCTATTCGTACAACAATTTTTCGCAAATTAACCAACAAAAAAAAAGTTGTTACGAATTTTTGAACCATACAAAAATAATCTAGAACACATCAATAACAAAAATCAATAATTTCACCAAATAAGTCGATTTTAGTACTAAATTAACTTCAACAACTTTGTTGTCAACATTCATATGCTAACATCTTCCATCTTTCATTTTACATTGTAATCCTTCATTGAAATCACGAACACCAAGCAAGGACTAAAACTACCGTATGAAAGACGAAACAAAAGTTAGAAGTAGAAAATAGAAATATTATATTGCAATCTAAAGGGAAGAATTCAAGTGCCCACAATGACTGAATTCCAAACAGAGTCAATATCTTAGGGCCAAGGAATATTTTTACCATGAAAGAAAACTCATAGAAAACAACAAAGGAAAGCATGCTTCCTAATACCAACCAGTGTTATAACGTTGAGAAAGCAATTATATTCACCACCTTCGTTTCTCAGACCAGGACCATATATATCCACTACATTAACACCATCATCCATGACCTTAGTTGATGAACATAAAGTCAACATCAAGGGCAATATTCAATATGATGCTAAGCAACTTTAGGAAATAAAAAACAACTTCATCTGCCTAATTTGCTATATATGCAGTGCAGCTTTGTTCCATAAACTTGATGCAACATACAAGACAACATTGAAATAGCTAAAAATCTATTTAAGTTTGAGATTCATCAGTACAGAACATGCATCAGTGCTGATTTCTAAGTGAATTAAACCCCAGGAAAGGGAGAAAAAAAAATTTTGATCAACTGGGAAGCTTCCAGCAACATGTCTGTGATGTTGAATCTACTAGTAAATGACTTAACTTATCAGAAAGCAAGTCATAAGAACTGCAAAATACCTGCAGACTTTCAAGTTGTACTGTGACCTGTTAAACATGGAAAATTCTAGTATTTGGCACAAAGTGAATGTTTAAGAAATTGACATTCAACCTAAAACTTTGTAAATTTCATGATATGAATTCTCAAACTTAAGTAAATTCCCCCATAGTTTAGCAATTGCCTTTGAACTTCTTATCACTCTTGTTGTTGCTTCTCTTTGGTGCATTATCAGAGAGCTTTCTCTTCTAGTTGATCCTTGAATCGGATTTCACTAAATTGGCTTTTGCTTGCCCAAATTGAACACCAAATTTCCTTTCAGTATTTCTATTATCTTTTCTATCCTTAGTCGGACAATAAGTCTTTCTAAATTCATCTCTTTGCATTTATACCTGAGATAGTTTTTGAAATCTCTCTATCAAGAATGGAGTTTCTCAATGATAGCAGCAACTTGGAATGACTCATTCAACTTCATATTCTTGGCATGTATGTCATGTAAAAGAACCTAAAGTTCTTGGACTTGATAGATGATGATTTTGGAGTCTATCATCATGTAGTTGAGGAACTTTTCAATGATGAATTTCTTCCTGTCGACTTCTTCCGTTTGGTACTTTTTCCCCAAAAACTCTGAATGTTCCTTTGCAGATTTTATAGCACTATACACTATGTATAGTATGTTGCCCAATCCATTCAGGATATAGTTTTTGCACAAGAAGTCTAAGTGCTTCCATACATCCAACATCACGATTATTCTCTCCTTTTTGTACGGCATGATGGATTTCGGTAAGGAACTTTTTCAAGTTTAAAGTGGTGAGATAGAACAACATCTTTTGTTGCCATATCTTGAAATCCACCCAGCTGAATTTCTCCATTTTTTCCATGTGGTACATGAGTAGTTTGAAGCAATTAGCCATCAAAAGAATCCCACTTGTTTTACCATTTGTGGTTGACTAGAATTAATCCCAACGATATCTATCTCTATTATGAAAATAGAAGTTTATCACAACAAAGTTGAAAAGAATTGCAACATTTTTGCTATTCCAAAAGATGAAGGGAATCAAAATATAATAAGCAAAGTGAGTGAAAATTCGTCTTAAAATTGTTGGTGAATGTGTGTGAATTTGCAAATAATATTTTGAATAACTTAAATAAGGTAAACGCTTACTTGACTGACAAAGATAAGTTGCAGAAATGAAGAAGAAACAATGAAGTCTGTAAAACGGGATCAGTGTTTAACATTATTTCTTTATGACAAATTTGCCCCGTCAAGGTACTCACGGTGTTTTGACAATCATCTCCCAAGATACAACAATTTCCTTTTTGTTGTAGAAGCACTTCAAATGGCAAGGAACCACAAACTTGAAACTGAAAAACACTCTCTACTTTGAATGGTCTTTAATGCAAGAAAACTCTCAATTTTGAAATGATTTGGAGTAATATGGTCAATACATATGATATGTTATGATTTTAGACCACCAATAGAGTCCAGTTTATAGAGATTGAGGTATTGTGGCTCGGAAGACACGCCCCAAAATTTAGCATGCTTCACGAATAGTCACAACGGGTCAAACCACTGGCTAACTGCCCCACTTGATCGCTCGAGTAGTTATTTCAATGAGTTGGCTGCTCACTGTCCGTGAGGCAGCCACTCGAGCGGTCGGCTTATATATGAAATCCTCATTTTATTTCATTTATTCAATGTCACTTTTAGACTCAATTTTCCATTAATCCAAAATTGGTTTTGTGAATCCAAATACAATACGATCATCTACTCGACGAGTAGAACGCATTTGTTATTCATACACAAAAATTGACTACCAGAACATATCCGAATATTTGATAGAAGTTGATACAAAAACAAAGTTTTATAAACCAATTTCGAACAACAACAAATTTACCTTCTTTTCTTAATTTTATTCAACATTGTCTAATCGAGTATATCGAACATAACAATATGATTATCTATATATGAATTTCATTTATCAAGTTCAAGTAATACCTAGAAATCTCGTAGGTCCAAATGTACCATAGCATTGGCCAGTCATTTTGTTATCAACTTGCCCATTCATCGTTGTCTCCACATTTCCTTCCTAGCGAAAGACACAAAAACCTTATCTTTGAATTCAAAGAATTACAAAAATAATAAATAAACTTATTTATTTTCTCCTCTCGCCATATTCTTCTCCCATTGACTACTTTGTAGCAACAATGGCAGCATTGAGCTGCAAATTTCATCCCACAACCTTTAAACACTGCAAAAGTTTCACAAAAATCCCTTCCATCTCTTGCTCTTTCCAGCCCTCTCAAAGCAGTATTAAGGTAACAATTTTCTAGATCCATATTTCTTTTTCGGTGCTCGGAATAATGAGATATTAAGATGGATTTTGTTAAATTGGATACCAAACCTCTTACTCTGTTTTGAGATAAGTAGACCTAAAAACCCTTATCACGTTCAGTATAAAAAATGAACTATCAAAGTAGAAAATGTGCTTATTCTTATCCATAAATTTAAGATATATATTTTTTCCTCTTTGAAAAAAGGTAATCATAAATGGAGCAGCTAAGGAAATAGGTAGGGCAGCTGTGTTAGCAGTAACAAAGGCAAGAGGAATGGAAGTGGCTGGTGCAGTTGATTCATACCTAATTGGAGAAGATATAGGAAAGGTTATTTCGAGTTAGTTTTTCCCATTTTTTTATTTTTTATAAATTTAATATTATTTCTTGGGGTTAATTTTGAGTATTAGCGTCCTAATAATGTTATTATTAATGTAGGTCTGTAACATGGAAGAGGCTTTGGAAATTCCCATAATAAATGATCTGACCATGGTCTTAGGTTCCATATCCCAGGTGACATTAACAGTTGCACCTTATGTCTCCTTAACTAACAACATTCTTATATCGAAAGGATTTCTCGCAACTATCTCTAGTACGGAAAGTTTTATCTGTTGAGGGATGGTCCTTTCACTCGACTTATTGTTCGCGAAAGAAAGCTTATAAAGTGTGAATTTCTTGGCAGAGTAAAGCAACTACAGTTGTTGTGGATTTCACTGACCCTTCAACGGTTTATGACAATGTTAAACAGGTTTAATCTTAATTACATTACCTTGACCAATTGTCTCTGTACTTACAACATTGCACGAAAAAAGATTATAACTTATCTTACTTATGTTGTGCGGTCGAGCATACCAAACATACCTCAAAGGTTTAATAATCTCTGGATTTTCCTGCGTTGAATCAACAGGCAACAGCTTTTGGAATGAACAGTGTGGTTTATGTGCCTCGTGTCAAAATGGAGACAGTTTCTGCATTATCTGCATTTTGCGAGAAAGCCAGCATGGTGAGCACAGGGTGAGAATTCATAAATCTTCAAAAATTTCACACAAAGTTCTACAAATTAATGAAAGCGAAAATTGAATCCAAAATTGAATTGTTAAGTGTTTCAATGTACGAACTCCACGAATTCAATCGATTAGTTTTCTTGTTTTGTTGAAGATCCTCTAAGCATTATTGTCAGCTGAGCAATCTAGAAACAATTTTATATGTACTCGCGGGTGATATTTTCTGAACAGATAATAAAGAGATCGTGGATTTGGTAAACTACGCGGAAATAAAGATATATATTTAAAAATTTTCCCCATCTTTGCATTAATGTACAGTTTCATGAAGCTTGAATTCTAGCAAATAATAATGTTGAGAATTGATTTATAGGGTTGTCTGGTAGCACCAACTCTTTCAATAGGATCAATACTTCTGCAGCAAGCTGCAATTTCAGCTTCATTTCATTACAATAATGTGGAGATTGTTGAATCAAGGGCAACTGCAGGGGTAAGTCTAATCATCTTTATTTAAAAATCAACATTGTCGAGGAATGGACCAAACTCATATATTAGTCTATATTTCAATATTTAATTGATATAGAATTTATCCCTTAACATACCCCACAAGTTGTTGACTCATTTGAGTACGTCAATCTTAAAATTCATGTGCTCGTTTGAGTCTTAATTAGATTGAATTCCTTGTTAGAATTTAATGGTCTCAAATACTATATTAAAACTTGATATTTCATCTTAAAAGATCAAACATTATTTAGAGTATTAGTTCAAACCTTTATATGCTGGTCCATATTTTTTGTATTTAACCGACGTGATATTTATCCTTTAACAATCCTAAGCCCATTTTGTCAATGGTTTTATTACTAAAATGGTCATGTCACTACAAGTCATCTACAGAACCAATACGACCCGTGTTTTTCTAATGGATCGGGTCGGTTAGGCCACCAAATAAACTTGTCCGCTCAAATATAAAAAAGGAACCGACACCTCGACTGCTAGAAGCTTAAGAGCTAATAGGAAATGTTTGGTTCATTGTACTGCATTAGACATGAATATTTCAAAACATTTATAGTTGTGATGTCACTCTTATTCAATCCAGTGTACTTATTACATCTATAACTACTTGTATTCTTTCATATATTTTCACATATAATGGTATGTCATAAGAAATCCTTTTTCTTTTGGGGGAACAGGATTTTCCTTCACAGGATGCAATGCAAATAGCAAACAATATTTCTAACCTTGGTCAGATATACAATAGAGATGATGTTTCAACAGATATTCTGGTGAGCAATCCAAACGAAATCCCATTCGTATAAGACAACAAGAACCCAAGTCTTATCCCAAAAAAATTAAAGTCGAGTAAATGAATTTTTTTCCACATCAATTTATCGCCATATCTACCAAAAGATCTACTGATGAATTCCTTTTTGTACTCATGCATAACACAATCTTGTGCTGAGACAATTTTTCCTCATACAAGGCAAGGGGTCAAGTTTTGGGGGAAGATGGAGTAAGAGTGCACAGCATGGTTCTTCCTGGCCTCCCATCTAGTACGACTGTCTTCTTTTCCCGGCCAGGAGAGGTGCGTGCTTCTTAGACAAGAAGTCTAATCCTCTCGTGTCTAATTTTATGTACTAAACACGCTCTTCTTTGACATTTTTTGTAGGTTTACACCCTGAAACACGATGTCACGGATGTTCAGTGTCTCATGCCAGGCCTAATTCTGGCCATCAGAAAAGTTGTGCGACTCAAGGTACTTAGTAGTGCATTCCAAAATATCAATTTTCCATTTCTTGAAACAAAAAATCAGTTTACCATTTAACCACTGCCCCCTTTACCTCGGCAGAATCTGGTGTATGGCCTGGAGAAATTTTTGTAGAAACTCAGGGTTGACAAGCTCCATAATGCAGCTCGATGGCACACTGTTTACTACTTCGACCCGAACGAAGGAATCTAATGTTATGCAAAATAGATCTTATTTTATCTTTGTTAAGAGTTTCTAGTTTATCCCATGATAGATAAGAATCTTGGAGTTGGACATTGTTTTCTGTAACATTTTTCTGAGAAAAAAAAACGTAAATTTTTTTTTTATAAATGCACATAATCATGCTCGAATTCATGACTTTCTATTGACGATTCATATAATTTTTCCTGCTTCCGTCAAGAGAGACAGTCCATAAATTCAAGTATAATGATAAAGTTACTTGTTAGCTCCTTTCCACCTTGTGAAAGAGCTCCAAACAAGATCCACCTCTAATCTTGAAGAATGGAAGAGAACTGAAAACAACTTTTTTGTAAAGATAATGAAAAAACAGAGGAAAAAACAGGGAAAAAATAGAGAAAATGAGAGAGCTTCTGAGCTGATGAACCATCAATCTTTCATTCAACAATTCTTACGTTCATAAGTACCAGCCAACCACTATTACATAGAAAAAAGATAAAGAAATACAACATGGCTGAACTTAGAGTACAAAACTACCAACTACCATACATTCAACTGTAGATAGGAATTGATAGTAAAAAATAAGAGTTTTATATAAAAGCTTAATTCTCCTTCATTCTCTTCCTTGAAACTTTTATGTAACACTCCAAGTTGATGCTTCAACTCATCAAAACGACTTTTTGTTAGAGGCTTCGTAAACAAATCTGCCAACTGAACTTTTGAAGGATAGAATTGCAGATTGACTTCTCCTTCCTTCTCAGCTTGTCTGATTGCATAAAACTTCACTTTTATATTCTTTGTTCTTCCATGATTGACTGAATTTTTGGCCACGGCGATTGCAGATTGATTGTCAACCATAATTGTAGTAGGATTGAATTGAACTTGATGCAAATCACTTAAGATTTTCCTTAACCAAATGGCTTGATTAACTGCTGGTGATGCTGCTACATATTCTGCCTCTGCTGTTTATTGTGCCACAATTTCTTGCTTCTTTGAATTCCAACAAAATGCACCAGATCCAAGTGTGAATAAATATCCAGAAGTGCTTCTCATATCAACAATAGAACCAATCCAATCACTATCTAAATATCCCAGCAAATCTGATCCAACTCCTCCTTCAAAATTAATCTCATGACTGATAGTTCCTCTAATGTATCCGAGAACTCTTTTAGCAGCAACTAAATGTGTTTGTGAAGGATTTGTCATGAATCTGGATAGTAAACTTGCAGCATACATCAAATCTAGTCTTGTTGCTGTCAAGTATAGCAAACTTCCCACAAGACTTCTATATTCCTTCTCATTTGTTGGTTGATCTCCCTTTTCTTTGGACAGCTTAGTGTTCATGGCTAATGGAGTGTCAACTGGTTTGCAATTCAGCATTTTGAACTTCTTTAAAACATTAGCAGCATACTTCTGTTGTGAAATAAAGATACCATCTGACTTTTGCTCAATTTCAATACCAAGAAAGTACTTCATTTCTCCCGAATTTGTCATTTCAAATTCTTTCTCAAGTTCATGAGTAAATGAATCAATTTGCTCCAAGTTATTTCCAGTAATCAACAAATCATCAACATATAATGAGATGATAAAAACATTAGAGTAGGAATCTGTCCTCACATAGACTGTATGTTCACTCTCACTTCTTTTGAATCCATTTCCACATAGATATCCATCAATTCGACTGTACCAAGTTCTTGGAGTCTGTTTCAATCCATAGAGGGCCTTTTTTAGCTTGCATACACAATCTGGATCTGATCTTGAATGAAAACCTTCTGGTTCAACAAAAATATCTTCTTCAAGTTCTCCATTGAGAAAAGTTGATTTTATATCCATTTGATGTATTTTCCATCTCTTTTGAGCTGCCAAAGTAATCAACAACCTGATTGTATCATGTTTTGCAACAGAAGCATGAGTTTCAAAGTAACCAACACCACTTTCTTAAGCAAATCCTTTAGCTACAAGTCTTGCTTTGTATTTGTAGACCGAACCATTAGGATTTACTTTGGCCTTGTAAATCCATTTCACTCCAATCACCTTCTTGTTTGTAGGTCTTGGTACCAACATCCAAGTTTGATTTTTTTGAATCATATTCATTTCATCTTCCATAGCTTCAATCCATCAAGATGTTTAGCTGTTTCAACATAGCTATTTGTTCAACAATTGCCATGTAGAATCTTTCATAAACTTCATTCAAAGGTCTAGTCCTTCTAGGAGGTGTACTAGATCTAGAAGAAGACTCAGATGGACCATCATTTGAAGAGCTTGACTCTGCCACAGGTGGCTGAATTTCTAGAATTGCAGTAGGAGTGTTCTGTTGCACAATTGGAAAAAGAACAGAATGTTGTTGTCGCTTGACTTCCTCCCAATTTCATTTAGCATTTTCATCAATTTTAACATCTCTAGAAACTGAGATTTTTTCAGTTTCTATGTTGTACACTCTATAGCCCTTTGATTGAGAACTATAGCCAAGAAAGATTCTTTCTTCTCCCTTGTTGTCCAGCTTACTCTTCTTTTGATCTGGAACATGAACGTAGCATAATGAACCAAACACTTTGAGATGCTTTGCTGTGGGTTTTAATCCACTCCAAACTTCAATTGGAGCCCTATCTTTCACAACTTTAGTTGAAAGTCTGTTTTGTAGGTAAACAAAAGTATAAGCTGCTTCAGCCAAAAACTTTTTTGGTAGACTTTTCTCAACTAGCATACATCTAGCCATCTCCATAACAGATCTGTTTTTCCTATCTGCTACTCGGTTTTACTGTGGAGTATAAGGAACTGTTAGTTGATGATGAACTTCATTTTCTTCACAAAACTGAACAAACTTTGATGAAGTATACTCCTTGCCATTATCTGATCTCAACTCTTGGATTTTGCAGCCTGATTGTGCTTCTACAAGTTTTTTGAATTTCTTAAACACATGAAATACATCTGACTTGTTCCTCATGAAGTACACCCAACACATTCTGGTAAAATCATCAATGAATAGCACAAAATACAAATTTTGACTTAATGAAGGTATTTTCATAGGTCCACAAATATCTGTATGAACAAGTTATAGTTTTTGTGTTGCTCTCCAAGCTCCTTCAGTTGGAAATGATTCTCTATGCATTTTCCCAAAGTTACAACTTTCACATACTCCTCCTGGCTCTTGAATCTGAGGCAAATCTCTTACCATACCATGTGAATATAGGTAGGCTAAGGATTTATAATTAAAATGATCATATCTTTTGTGCCACAAATTTGACTCATCAAAATTAACTTCAGTAGCATTAGCAGTAATACTTTGCCAATGTATATTAAAACTTTTGTTCTTCATGGGCACACACGCTATTTCAACACCATAGGAATCACATATTTTGCACAAATGATCTTTAAAATACAATGAATAACCATTTTGAACCATTTGACCCACATTTAACAGATTTGAACTTAAACCAGGTACAAGTAAAACATTATCAATGTACATTGTTCCTTTCTTTGTTTGGACAGCAATGGTTCTCATTCCTTTAGCCGGGACAATTTTTCCATTTCCCATTTTGATTGTGGCTTTGCAGTCAGAGTTCAGATTGCAAAAGATCTCTTCATTGCTTGTCATGTGGTTTGTACAGGCACTATCAATAAACCAAGAATCCTTCTTTACCATATCAGCCACATGAAACGCCAAAAACAAATGATCCTCATCTCTCTTTCCATGAGCAAGTGAAGTCTATTGATTTTATTGTCTTGACTGATGTTGAGTTGGTGTTTGACTTTGGAGTTTAGCTCTGCAAAACTTCTCCAGATGTCCAACTTCTTACACCATCTGCAATGTTTAGACTTCTAGCAATACCTTTCCAAATGGTTTGTTTTGTTACAAATACCACAAGGAAGATAAGTATCTCGACTGTCTTTGATCATTCCGATTTGCTACTGCTGCCTTCTCTTCTCTTTCTTTCATCATATTGCCTTTTTCCACCACTTCTTCTTGAGTATTGTTAATTGTGTTTTGCTGTAAAGGCTCCTTCAACTGATTTTTCTGACGACCTTGCTACTTGTCCCTGCTCATAAGCTAAAAGAGCTCTTGTAAGTTGAGTTAATGATAGACTTGACATGTCCTTTGTGTGCTCAAGGGTTGTTCTTACAGCATCAAACTTCTTAGGCAAAGTGATCAGCACCTTTTGAACTACTCTTTGGTTAGAAAGTTTCTCCCCATTTAGCTTGAGTTGATTAACAATATCTACAACTCTTCAAGTGTAGTCTTTGATTTTTTCAGCTTCCTTCATTTTAAGATTTTCAAAATCTCTACTCAAGGCTTGCAACTTTATAGCTCTCACCTTTTCTGAACCTTTGAATTCTTCTTCAAGCTTATCCCAAGCTTCTTTGGCTGTAGACATAGAAACAATTCTAGGAAAGATCTCTTCAGACACTGTTGTGTACAAGAATGAGAGATCTTTCATATTTTTCATGGATTGATCCTTGTCCTGCTTCAACTGAGCTGCTATGTAGTTAGTATCAGCTTTAGGAGATTCATTACCTTGCTCAATCACTTCCTAAAGATCGTGTGCCATCAAGAACGCCTTCACTTTGACAGACCAAAAATCGTAATTTTCACCATTAAACACTGCTGGTAATGGAAGGGAAGAAGAGCTCGTTCCTGCCATTTTCAACTTTCACAAAGGTTACCGAAATTGTAGATAGAGTTCTGAACTTTGCTCACCGGATTTGAAGTGAAAACACCGGATTTAAAATGTAAATACCGGATATGAACCCATACTTTCAACTCATCGGACTTGAACCTTACTTACCGTATTTGTAGTGTAAATACCGGATATGACTTGAGATACCAGATATGCATTGTAAATACTGATATGAGTTTGCTCACCGTATTTCAACTTTACTTACCGGATTTCAACCTTACTTATCAGATTTCAACTCTTTTTCCTAGCTTCCCGTATTTC